ATGTTCTCTAGTTCAACATAAATGCACCTATAACTATATATCTGGATCAGGAAAATGTCTAAGGATATAATAAGAGGTTTTATGAAAATGTTTGGCAAATATTGTCTGGAGACAAATGTAGCCATTGCTAAAAGCAAGCCAAAGCTTGTAATATTCACCTGAATGATCCAAATGAAAAATTGCTCCTGTATTGCACATTATTACACATTACAAAGTAAAAGATAGGGTACCTAAAGCAAAACAGCAAGAACATAAGAGTCTAGAAGACAGTAGAACACAGACCTGAAGCCAGCAAGATTACACTTAAAAATTCACATCTGATGTATGTTAAATTACAGTTCTGAAAAAGTGTTTCAAATGAATACTAGTGAAAGAACTGTGTCTTAGGGGAGTCAAATACAGATTTGTATTGACAGTATATATATATATATATATATGGCACAACAGATTATAAGTAACACGTGAAACAAAAATAGTCATTAGCATCTGTGTCCTCCTTAATCCACTTAATTAGGAAACATCTGTGGTGTAGTCAGTGTTCTTTTCCATAACTGTTTAATGTGGGACAGGGTGATGTGATGCCAAATTATGTCTTTGAGAGATTTTAGGCCTCCAATTTATTGTGCATATATTTTGAATGTTTTTAAAGTGTATATATATTCACACTAAGAAGAGATCAGTGATCACAGGAAGCCAACAAAGCGTGTTAAATGCTTTTAACTTCAAAAAGCAGAATGTTCTTTACCAATTTTTTTAAAAAAATTAATTTGTTAAGTGAAAATAAAGTTAAGGTATGGCTTACCTAGGGACAGTTTGCATAGACAAAATTGGGAATTTATTAGCATAAATGAAGGTTTAATTTTTTTCTTAAGAAGGTTTTGTACTCAAGTCTTATATCACATTAGATTTTTAAGTCTCCTAAGTCTGCTAAAACCAATGCAGAGTAAAAGGACAATAATGTAAAAAAGTTTCAAAATTAAGTTTCATAATTTTTATCTGTTGAAGCATGAAGCATTCATTTTTAAATATTGTTTTCTACCACATGTTGGCTATAGATGGCTACAGAGAAGAAAATTTGCATAGTACTACTTAGTAATTTCCAGTGTAGTGCATATTCTCCTGTATATAAAAGCAGAAGAGAATAAAAACAAACGAAAGGAATCCTTGTTTATGAATGTAAAAATGTAGGGAACAAATTTATCTGTGCATGTATGAGCTTAGCTGAAAAAACTTGTCAGAAACAAATCTTTCCAAAAAAGTAGTTTTATTTATTCCCTAGAAACAATTGTTGTTCCATAGCAAAAGCTGTTGTTTGTTTGTACTTTTACATTCCTTAAAATCTCTGTAGAAATAAACTACTAACCTATAAATTTTGTAAATCATGGTGTGTCAGCTTTACACCTTAATTGTTTGTTAGTATTTGAATTTGTGATTTTGGTTGCCAGTTAATTTCTTTGAGTTTTCTGCCTGTTTTCAGTAGGCAAAATATGTAGGTTAAGGGGGAGTGTTAGCCTTTTAGAAGTGAGAGACTGTGAGAATAATCTTTTATTGCTCTTATTCTCCTCTTTTCTCACAGGTTGGTTTCAAATGTTACTCCCCACCTTTCCATCCTCAGTTCTTCATTTGTGGGCAAAATAATCCTTTTAAAAAAAAAAAAAAAAGAGGAAGGGTAGTTTGACCTCATTTCTCTGTGTTCACAAAACACTGTCACTGAACTGTTGAGAAGTCACCAGAGAAGGGTAGGATGGCAGCAAAGAGGGTGGGAAGGGGCAGAAGGAAAAGAAGAGACAGGGGAGAAGGGTAAAGAGTCAGTCAACAGAGTCTTAATTTTGAGCTAGCTGTGTGATTGGTTTTGTTTTGGGAGTATAGACTTTCTCACTGCTAAGTGACCAATTTATTTTTGTTTGTCCACCTTGGGCTGTGGAATGCTAAGGGCTTCCAGAAGAGTAAATTAGAATTTGATGGCCGTGGTAACAGAGAGACTGAAAAGTCAGTAAATTTGTTAAAGCAAACCTTTCCTCTCATACACTGCCATACATGCCAGCACCAAGTGTTCCAGATAGGAGTAAGAAAATGAGATAAAATTCCAATTACATCAACCTAATTCAGTGATGAAGATGATGCTCTAAATGCCAAGAAAAAGGAGTGAGAGCAAATACCAGAACTGTTGTAAGACAAATTCCTAGTATAAAACATGGGTAATGACGTAAAAAAATCTTGGTTGACTTCATTTATTTATTTATTTTATTTTCTTCCAGTACTCAGGCAGTCAATTTTCTGGCATTTTACATTTGCAGTCCCCTCATCCCCTCAGATTTTAACAATGTCTTTAGAATTAATTCTGAGGCAGTGACAGCTTCTGGTAAATACAGAATCATAGAATCACAGAATCACAGGGTTGGAAGGGAACCTCAAGGATGATGAATCTCCAACCCCCCTGCCACAGGCAGGGCCACCAACCTCCACATTCAATACCAGACCAGGCTGCCCAGGGCCCCATACAACCTGGCCTTGAACACCTCCAGGGACGGGGCATCCACAGCCTCTCTGGGCAGCCTGTTCCAGCACCTCACCACTCCACTCTCTCTGTAAAGATTTTCCCCCTAAATCTCCCCTCCCTCAACTTAAAACCACTTCCCCTTGTCCTTCAGTTATCAACCCTTTCAAAGAGTTGATTCCCCTCCTGTTTGTAGGCCCAGGATACCATTTGCCTTCCAAGCTAATCAAACATCACTAACAGCACCCGTAAAATGTTTTGAAGGCATTGAAATTATAGTCATAGAAATATAGCAAACCATATGGGTACATAACCAAAACAAAAAAGAAAAAAAAAAAAGGAAAACAAAAAGAAAGAGAGATGGCATGATGGCATATCTAAATTAGAATTGTCTTAAATTATCCCTTAATTAGGAACTGTTTCAAACTAAAAAAAATATGAGATCAAAGTTGGCCATACGAAGTGGCCATACAAGCATTATTGGGCAGATCTGATATTCTTATGGTAGTGTCTTAGGGTTAGTTTTCTTCCTCCAAATACATCCAGTTTACATTTTTAAGAATTTCAAGGAAAATGAATGTAATACAGGTTTATTTTGTTTCTGCAGAAGACTCTGTCACATACTCAAAATTCCAAATCTTTCATTAGATAAAAGGCTTACTGAGGTAATATTGGTCAGTGTAAAAATATCATGATTTTTCAGGTGGAATGCACTTAAGGACCATTTCTAGGCTTTTCTTAATTAGATGGAATCATTCTGTACACCGATAAAAAAAAAAAAAAGACAAAAACACATGGTCTTTTGTTGTAAGTTGTGACTAGGACATTTAAAATCTCCTAAAAAGAAAAGTACAGATGGCTTATTTCTATTGATTATGTTTACTGCATATTCTTAGTATATTTTTATTAACCTGAGACTTCAGAGTTTTTCTTGGTCTGCCGGAGAGATGAAAATGATTGATCCTCTTGCTTTACATGTGAAAGAACAAATGGAAGATGCAATATGCAGTTATTTTTTTTGTTGAGACAGAGTCAGAAATTCACCACAGTTTAGCCGTATTGAGAGAGGCAAGACCATTTCTTATTGAAATTTAAAATTTCCTGCAGTTTATTGGTATAAAAAAAAAAAAAGATTTTTCTTTTCCTCTGTAGGCTATTTCGACCTTATAAATTGTTTTGCTTTCTCCTACTGTTTTTTTTCATGATATATTACAGGTTTATCTTCTGCACTATATTACAATTTATCTTAAATGATCAGATACCGGGTAGAGTTCTGAGGGCAGTGTGGCTTAAAGCAGTACTTGACTCAGATGTCCTATAATCTTGTCAGACTTTTGCCAGAGATTATGAGCTATGATTTCAGTGGGCCAAGTGTTGGTGACCAGTCATGTTCCTAAAAGTATTTTATCAATTTTCATTAGAAATGATTATAATGAAAATAGAAAAGAGGCATGATAATTAAGAGAACATGGAAAAGAAAATCACAGTAACTAAAGTGGAAGCCGAAAGTCAAACATATTAACGTACTCAAGTTGAGTGAACTAGATAATCTCCTTGAAGTATGTGAATTCACAAATAAAACTGCAGGTCTAGGTGCAGAGCTTTTAAATAGAACTGTTAAATCAGGGATGGCATAACTGGAAAACTGTCAGTTTTTGTGGGATATTAAACTGAAAAATGATCTGAGCAACTACATGCCATGTTTGTATCCCACTGACGTGTGCAAAGCTTTAAAACACTATAAGAATTATTAAAAATGTCAAGATAAATTGAAACTAAAATACAACACAGATTTACACATTTTGCATTTTATTAAACCAGTACAATGGATTTTTAGATAACCATGTTTATACGACAAGGAGATCAAATCATTCTAATTTCTCAGAAAGAGAATCACATGAAGAATTGAATTACTTAATGTTAGTCAACTGAAGTTTATCTAAGAGTTATCAGATATAACCAACATTCTTTATCCATAGAAGCTTTATTCAAGGCTTCATAGAGTGTTTGCACTAACCTTACTTCAAACTGAATGAAACAAAACAAAGGGTGAGCGATCTTAGAGAATTAGTTCATCACAAGTTGAGAAAGTACAGTATTGTGAAGCTGGGAAATAATATTATAAAGTCTCTAATTATAGACTGCACCTTTTGAAATATTTTCAGTAGCTATTACTCCAATAGTAAGGCCATTGTTGGAAAGCTCTCTGAGTAAGGGATATCTTAGAAAAGTCTAACAGTCTGAAATAGCACTGGCAGCACTGTTCTACTTATCTATCTTTCAAATAATTCAAATTGAAATGGGAATAGAAAAATGCTTGTGTGGGAACTGCTGAGTCACAGCCTGAACCTCTGATTGATCACCCGAGGCAAGCAATGAGTCAGCCCTGGGAGCACAGGTGAAGGCAATCCACCTGTGCTGCTGGAAGGGGTGGAGCCTGGCTCCACCTCTCCTAGACCTATTTAAGAGCTGACTACCAGTAGGGAAGGATCTTTTCTGGTGATCTCTCCTCTGGAGTTTTGCAGTGAGCCCAGGATGTGGGTAAGCTTTATATCTCTTCTCTTTTTGTTATTATAATCTGCTCTGCCAAACTCTCTTGTTTATTTCATAATTATGACATCTTTATATTCATTGACTATATAATGCTATAGATCAAATTAATGAAAAGTAAAGTGTATAACAGGAGACAAAAAATGTGGCCTGTTCTTTAGTACAGGGAAATAGCTATTGAGAAAGTATATTGTTCTTTATCAATAGAGAGAGAAGGCTGTGGTGTAAAATGGCCGGTAATTAATGTAAGATAGAAGGTTCTTAACCATCAATAGATTTCTAGCTCTATCTTCCTATATTGTTACTGGTTGTGAAAGGCACCTCTGAGGTTTCAAGATGGAACTTCTTAAATACATTAAGATTACTAATATTATTACATATGTATTATGACTGTGTGCACAGCCTTGGTACAACTACTTGCCCCTGAGAAACTAGCTAAATGATAAACCCTTTAACTTAGAAATGTCATCTATTTTACCTTTCTTTTTGATTTCTAGACCTATTTCCTTCTCAGAAATAGTTTGAGGGCTACAATATTTTTAATTTTTTTTGAGTTCTCCAAAGTTTGAAAGTCACAGTTCTGCTTTCTGATAAAACTCTAATTTTTTGACTAATAGTATCTCCTGCAGAATAGCCTAAATTATAAAACTGGCTCATATTATCACTGATGGGACTAGTTCTACAATGATGGAAGAGCCAAGAGGTTCTTAGAATACAATCTTTTAGGTCAAAAGGAACTTTTTGAGGTCATCTAGTCCAATTCTCTGGCAGTGAACAGGGGACACCAACAGCTAGATCAGGTTGCTCAGAGCCCTTTCTAGGTTGACCCTGAGTGTCTCCAGGGATGAGGCATCCCCCATCTCTGGGAAACTTGTTCCAATTCTTCTCTGAAACCTTTTGATGACAAGGAATGGACAACTGGCAGAAATATTTTTTATGCTATTCTGCAAGTTTCTGATATGTACATATTTTGAACTCTTATGTGCCATCCTGTTTCATCTTCCCTGATGTCCAGGAAAGATACAATTATGGTAACAAGTAGGGAAGGATGATCAGTGGTTTGGAATGGCATCCATGCAAGGTGCAGTAAATTAGGCTAGGGCCTTTTGGGTTGGCAAGAGATGACTAGGAAGAATGTCATACATATCTATCAAGTACACGGAAGGTGAGCATGGATCAATTACTAATTTCTACTTTCAGTAAGAGGGAGAAAAACAATGTTAAATTAAGCTAGAATATATCAGGTTCTACACAAACACAGGAGGCTGGTAGCTAACCGGTAGTGTGCAGCCAAGCTATGTAACTCCTTGCCTCGGGACACTGCCAGGCCTGGCTCAGAAAATCTCTGAGCTGTCTGCTGCTGGAGACAAGCCAAGTATTCTGGAAAAGAATCATTAAAGCTTGACCTGGTCTTACGATTTTCCAGTCTTTGATACTGCCAGTAGGAGCAGGGTAATATGGAGCTTTACTTTAACACAGTGGCTTTCTATTCTTACATTAGCTGTTAAAAGCTGGGAAGAGTAGTTTATTTTTGGGAGCCTGCAGTGGAAATATACTTGCGTGATGAACACCAAATTTGTGTGTTGATGTGACCATAGGTCTTCTCCAAAAGTTGCAGTACTTATTACAGTAAAATTGCCATAGTTATGCAAAGAAGAAATGAACATATACACTGACTGTACTGTGACTATGATAGCATATCTTAGTATGATCTTAATATGCCTTATATATGTCAAATTGAAAAGATTTCCCTCTACAAGCAGGAAAAAAAAAAACTGGCAAACCATTTATCTTAATGCAATTGATGTTTAACTGATATTTTAATCAGCGTAGTTATTAGCATTCAGTGTTGACCTATCTTGTAGAGTAAGAGGAGTTCTTCCTTCCTGGGTCCAGTACCATTTAAAGTTTTCATTTTGAGCCTAGATAATAGAGTAAAAGTATGCATATTAGGTAGATGGTGCCAAATTGGGAGGCCCATTTTGTTCACTGAATAATAAGATAATTCTTAAAAATTGATAACTCAAAGAGCACAACGAACTACAAAAGCCTGCTTCAGAATCCAATCTATTCATCAAGAACAGAGTATTTTCTCTCCAGCTGCCCACAGAGAACTAGATGAAGATGCCTGAAGATGCAGCGCAACACCAGCAGAAGAGTCTCTTTTCAAAGTCACTTTGACATATCAAGAAGCTGAAATATTGCATTGCAGTTGAACAGGATTTGGAGAAATGATCATACAAGGTTTCTTCCTGTTTCCAGTAGCCTGCCATTCTACATAAAATTGGAAAACTTTACAAATGTGTTCACCAGAGTGCTGTCACAGCTGCTTCCTTTTCTGCAGAATCAATTCTATTTTTGTTTTTTCTCTCCCTCAAATTCTACAAAGTCAAGTTAGGAGGGATTTGCACTGCATCAACTTGGAAGACAATGAAGGAGATTTCGTTCATCCTTCTTTTTCATTGCAAATGGAATTATTCCAATCATCCACTCACAGGCAATGCTGGTGTATATGTGTGACAGAGCAGGTTCAGCCTCTAACTGGTGATTATTCACATGAAACAGAAGACTTGGCTTGCTTTTCAGAGGGCAAGCTGTGCTTCCAAGTCTTTGTAGGACAAGAGAAATAATGAACTGTTTACTGGTATGCAGAACATACTTTATGTGGAAACTATGGGGAGATAATCAGTGTGAAATCCTATGCCATGGTTTTCAGAATAAAACCACAATTTAAATTAATTAGCAGAAAGCTCACTGTACCCTTGCTTTATCCACTCTAACCCAAACAGTTTTACTGTTTTTTCATCCCTTCTAAGGTATAGGTTTTGTGATGCACTCAGGCTGGGTTTTGGGGGCTTTTTTTTTTTTTTTTTGAGGGATGTCATTTTTGTCATTACATGAGTAGAAATAGTTTTGATCTTCTTTATCTCCTTCTCATCTTATCTTTCACTGAAGCACCATTTTATGTTGTTTGATACACAGAAAAGATATTTATGATGTGTCTTCACATATGTCCAATAAATGTATCAACAGCATTTGACATTTTTCACTTTGAAGATGGCCATTATCTCCAAGAAGTGGAAACAGGGCACTTCTTAAAGTTCCTTTGAGGAATTTCAAAAGAAAATGAAGCTTTTACGTTCTTATTTTAGTGTTCAAATATTTGACATGTACTGCCATTGCTTTACTTAAATTCATAGCCGGCAATTTGTGTAGAAATTTCTTTTTTTCATCATGTCATTCTCAGTTGCCAAGAAGCACACCTGTTTGCTTGCTTGATCCTTCAAGCATAGAAGTTGATTTTCCATGCATGTTAAAAAATTATCAACTTGAAGACCAAAACTAATCAGGCAACTCTTTTGGTTCCAGTGCAGCAAGTCTTCATGGCCATCTATTATACCACTGTTTTTTAATCAGGATTTTTATTTAGCATAGAAAGTGAGAGCTACTGTAAAACTCTCCTATCAATAGGAATGTTTGAAATATATTCTCTGGCCTCCTGTTGTTCAAGCATTGCAAATTGTCAAATTATATGTGACAGACTGATTGCAATCTCTCTTTTTCATGACAGGCAAAAGTGTTTTACTTCACCCTGGGAAAAGAAAGAAAGAAAACAGGAAAACAGGAGAAAAACATTCAACTCCACTGAGAGATTATTCTAATCCCAGGTAGCTGTTATTTTGCAAAATTTTAGTAAGCTTTAATAGGCAGCTAGCTGTAAGTTTCTCTCAAGATAGTGTTTATGAGCGATATCTGTCTTTTTTTTTTTGTTGTATAATTTTTATAAAAATTCTATGATAGCAGAATCTATTTGTCTTATATTAATTAATGATTTTTAGCTATTATGCAACTGGAAAATTAAAATATATTTTATGGTTACTGCCTGTTCTGGTACACTACAAAGAGAAAGCCATTCAGAGAGAACTACAAGATATCTCACTTCACCTATGAAAGAACAGCTGTAGTTATCTGTGGTGGAAAATGCTTCTGGTGTGAATGGTGGTATATTCCAGTGTGAATGTATTAAACACTGGGGGTAACTGTGCCAGAGGCATATTTGAGTACCTCAATTGTATATATGTACCATAAGCATTGCTTTTTATGCATGGTTATTCATCACATAATGCCTATATTATAGCTGCTAGAAAATATTCTCCTCTTTTCCTCACAGTGCAGGATAGACAACAGCTGTTAAAAACATCCTGAGATAGTGCTGATGTCAGATCCAAAGAACTTCTTAAAAAAAAAAAAAAAACTTGAACAAAGAAACTGCATTCACAATTTTTCAGAGAAAAGATCATCACTTTTTTTGTATATTAGGTGGTGGACACAATAGCTGCTGGTCTATTAAAATACATAGCCAGCTCAATACCTTGTTACCCATTGTTGCTGGCCTGTAGCGCATAAAGTGGTAGGTAGGATAGAGCAATACTGAAAATTGGCCCTCCTTTTTTTCCTTAAAAAAAAAAAAAAAAAAAAAACACTTGCTCAGGAATTCAGGAATACACTTTTAAGTAACTCATTGAATTACATAAATATACTTTTTGTTGATATATTAATTAGATAATTGTTTTAGTTATTTACTGTCCCTAATCCACAGTTGCCTGTGTCTGAACTTCATCACTTGGGGCTAATCGCACATTCTCTAATGAATTTTGAAGTCAGAGTCAGCAGCACTCTTCTGCAACAAAGATTCCTAATTTTAAAAATTATTCTGTATGTTTGTCTTTTCTGAGAACATTTGGATGGACTTCTTAGATGCATTTTACTGTTAACACTTTATTTAGATTATCTAAATTTTTAACATATACATAAATTGGTGTACAAAATAATGTAAAAACAAAATAAAAGACAAAATGAGAATTAAAATCTTATGGAAATTTTAGAATATTACTTGTAATACTGAAAAAATTAATTTAGCTTGAAACTGGTGTAGTTTACACTAATGGATTTTGCAATTTTATTGCTTTTTAATAACCTCTTAATGAGTACATACAATCAGTATATGAACATACTACAAATATTGTATACTATGGTTAGTATATAATTTGAGAATTCAAATCTACTTAGATTACTCTAGGTAGAGTTTTCTGTGTTCACTAGTTTGTCATTTGAAAGTTGCTTTCAGCATTTTTTTCTTTTCTGTGGCTTTTTTTTTTTTTTAACTTATTGTGTCACCAATCTTTTTTCTTGCAAGTCAGCAGTCTAAAATTTGACCTACATACCTAAATCATCCTCAAGGTGCCAGACATGTCCCTGTAGCAGGCAGTCCACCTAGCCTTTCCTTCACCAGAGCCAAACATGCCAGCACTAAGCTGGTGCAATTGGAAGAGGAGCCCCCAAGTGCGACATCCAACCTGCCAAGAAGTGTTACACCTATATAACAGAGAGATACTTATAAAAACCTTGCTGTCATTTCCTAGCCTTGCTATTTAGTCTGTCACCGCAAAGGGGACTTGATGAAGCAATGTGGAGCCAGTTGTAGGCAATACAAGCAGCCCGCTGGGGAAGTGCTCTGAGATGCTGTTGCACCTCTGACACATGCATCCGCTAGTTGTCAGCGGAGGAGTGTTTCACTTGGCTGACCACAGCCTGTCCAGGCGTAACCAGAAGTCAGTGCCCTTTTTTGCTGCTGTCTTTTGGAATTCTTATCAAAATGCAGTGCTGAAAAACAATACTACCCTAGCTAGAGACATAAAATATACTACGTGGACAATGCATTTGACTAAGTTTTAAAATATAAAGCAAACAACTTTTCAATAGTTTCAGCACAACATTTACATCTGATCTATTGTGGAAAAGTAACTAACTACTCATTCATACCACCTAAGCAGTGTTTGCTCTTACTGTCAAGAGTGCAAGATACATTTCTAATCGGTTTGCTTGAGTCCTCATCTACTCTTACAGATGCTATCAGGATGGAGAGTTAACTTTACATTAACAACACTGTCTTTTTTTCCAAAGAAATTACAGCTGCTTATTTAGGATTATTTTAAGGCCCATAGATTTTTCAATGTAGCCAGAATTTATTGTGGAGAAAACAGCAGTGTCAGAAGCCTAACTGAGACAGGGGAGGTTTAGGTTAGATATTAGGAGGAAGTTTTTCACACAGAGGGTGGTGACACACTGCAACAGGTTGCCCAAGGAGGTTGTAGATGCCCCATTCCTGGAGGCATTCATGGCCAGGCTGGAGATGTGGCTCTGGGCAGCCTGGTCTGGTGGCTGGTGACCCTGCACATAGCAGAGGGAGTTGAAACTACATGATGTTTGATGTCCTTTTCAACCCAGGCCATCCTATGATTCTATAAATCTACATACTTCATTTAAACTCTAAAAAGAGAACTTTTCAGGTGATAGAGAAAAAAATCACTATCAAATTGCAAATGTTTGTTCTTTTTCAGGACATGTGGTAGGGGACGTTCTCAAGGAGATAAAAATGCCTTTTATTTCTGTTCCCTATGCAGAAGATCAAAAAAAAGGAACTCAGATTCAATGAGTTATGTTGAAGGACTGCATCGTGATGGTAATAATGCATCTATTATAGAATATTTCATAGAAAAATCGTTTAGTGAATCATATCATCACTTTAATGTCTTAATTGCAGAATCACAGAATGGCCAGGGTTGGAAGGGATCTCAAGGATCATTGAGGATCTCCAACCCCCCTGCCACATGCAACCTCCGCATTTAATACTAGAGTAGGCTGCCCAGGGCCCCGTTCAATCTGGTCTTGAACACCTCTGGGGACGGGGCATCTACAACTTCTCTGGGCAGTCTGATCCAGCACCTCACCACTCTCTCTGTAAAGAATTTTCCCCTGACATCCAACCTAAATCTTCCCTCCCTCAACTTAAAACCATTTCCCCTTGTCCTTCAGTTATCAACCCATTCAAAGAGTTTATTTCCCTCCTGTTTGTAGGCTCCCTTTAGGTACTGAAAGGCTGCAATGAGGTCACCCTGCAGCCTTTTCTCCAGGCTGAACAAGCCCAGCTCCCTCAGCCTGTCCTCAGAGGGGATGTGCTCTGGTCCCCTGATCATCTTCGTGACCCTCCACTGGACCTGCTTGGACCTGCTCTGTCCTCATAGCGGGGGGAGACTTAGCACCTGGTCCTCACCTAGAGGTATAGGGATGCAGGGCTCAGGGACGTGAGATGTACTGGAATCCTGACCGCCAGTGAAGACTGAGGCAAAGAACTCATTCACGACTTCAGCCTCCTCTTTGTCCATTGAAGCAAGTTCTCCTTTTACATTTACCAAAGAAGGTACACTTGCTTTGGTCTGTCTCTTCTGGCCAATTATCTGTAGAAAGTCTTCCTATTGTTTTTCACGTCCTTCGCCAAGTTCAGTTCTGCCTGCGCCTTGGCTTTCCTGATCCCATGTCTGCAAGTCCGGACGGCATCCCTGTATTCTTCCCAGGTGACACAGCCTTGTTTCCAGAGCAAGATACGCACCTTTCTTTGCCCTCAGCATGCCCAGCAGGTCCTTACCGAGCCATGCCAGCTTCCTACCGATTTCTTATTCAAAGGGACAGAGAGCACTTGTGCTCTCAGGAAGGCATCCTTGAAGAGTAGATAGCTCTCCTCAACATCTTTGTTGATGACATCCCAGGGGGTCTTGGCTAACAGTCCATTGAACATCTTAGAGTTTGCTCTTCCAAAGTTCAGGGTCCTGATGCTGCTCTTTGCCAGGCCCACATCCCTTGAGATCACAAATTCAACCAGGGCATGGTCACTGCAACCCAGGCTGCCTCCAACCTTAACACCATTAATGATTTCCTCTGCATTGGTGAACAGCAGGTCCAGCAATGCTTCACCTCTGGTTGGTCTGTCCAACACCTGGACCAGAAAGTTATCATCAACACATTCCAGGAGCCTCTTAGACCTCTTGCTGTGCAAGAGGTGCTTGCAACTTGCTGTGTGGTCTTTCCAAGAGATATCCAGGTGGTTGAAGTCCCCCATCAGGACAAGAGCCCGTGAGCATGAAGCCAGCTTATTCATATTTACATGAGAAATTCAGCATTTACAAATGACAAACTTGTGTCGGTCAATGGCTGTTACAGCATGTTGGGGGGATCATTGGTGTGGGATGATTAGCAATTGAAGAGTCAGGAAGAATCAGTACAGAGAGCAGGACCTGAGTTGGAATCCAACTCAGGATTGTCTTGGTTCCAAACAAGCACCTCTTACTGTGGCAGAGAGACAAAGATGTCAAGGTCCTTGGCAGGCTGTATGTTGCTTTTGAGCGATGGCGTTCTGCTCTTTGCAGCTGAAGCTGAAAGGCTCTGAGCAGAGGCCTATTAAGCATGCTTTAGTCAAAGTATAGGGAACTGGAGGGTAGATCTGCTGTAAAAGGAAATAAAAACTAAGTTATATCTTTCTACTAAACCTCCAGAAAGAGGAATGATTCCTTCCATATCATATGTACAGATGTAGCAGCACAGGACACGTTTCCAGAGACAAAGTTGTCTTCTTTTTGTACTTCCTGAGCCTTCTACTACATTCTAGGAATATAGAAAATTATTGAGATTGGGTGTAGCACAGCACAGGGATACATTTCCTTTCTTGTGATTTTTGGAGGAGTAGTTGTACTAAGAGCACTTCTTCAACAATGAAAAAGAATGCCTTTTTCTGTCAGTGAAAAAAAAAGAAAGTGTAATAGCCTACCACATTTTTCCGGTAGAGATCCTACCCCATTCTTCAGCAGGGATGCCAATTGCTTAGTCCAATGATCTAATGGACTTAGGCTGGTTCTAGTACAAGGTCTATACAGGCCAGTAGTTTTTAATTTTTCCACAAGACACAGGACTCTAGAGTGCTCAGACATGGGCCTCATTATTCTCAGGTCTTGCAGTGGCTCAGACATTTTCGTTTGATTACCATTCAGATTTAAGAACTCTGGCTTCTGGCATATTTAAAAACAATTTGCCAAGTAAGTAATGAATCAAATATAACCTTAATGAAATTTCTTGACCACAACTACTTTGCTCTCAAAAAGGAAGAAACAAGTCAGAGGGCTCTGGAAAAACATACTATGAGGCAATGCTCTGCTTGACTTAACCTACACCTTTCTAGGCAAGGTTCTTCTTCCTTCGTTTCTCCTCAACAACTTTCACCAAGAAGTAACTGCAAGTAGCACCTTCAAAATATGGCTTCTGTCTGTCACCTCTTTACATATATTCAAATTCAGAACCTCTAGGTCTATAAGCTGTATTGTTCAGCTCGTAATTAAATGCTAACTGATGATATGCAGTTGCTGTGTAGCTTTGCCATTCTCTGTAGCTTTAAAACATCCTTCCCATGCAGAAGAGCTGAAGTATTTCACAATACCTTGCTTGGCCTTCAAGTGGACAAAAGACCGGCATGTAACAGAAGGGAGTAGAGTTCTTCCTACTTTTACTCAGAAATATCCTGATCTATCACAGAGGAAATTAGGCACGGAGTTGTGTTCAGATGTACAAGGAGTCCCTGACATTTGTTCTTGAACATGTGGGTCTTCACCAGTGTGCTCACTCCTGTGTGAAATTTAGCCAGAACTGCACCTACTCACAAGCCTGGTGAGACAACTTCCCCAACTCAGCTTTTTATAGTGCTGCGTCACTTCATTGCATCAGAAATAGCTTAAGAACGACTCTTTCCTCATTGTTTTTGCACTTTGCCTGAAGGTAGAAAAGTATTACCTCTCTTCCCCTTCCCTAGTGAATATGGGGATTTTTATCTTCTTCAGAATTATCTAGTTGCTGCTGGAGACAGCTTAATAGACTTCTTTTTTTTCTTTTTTTCTTTTTTTTTCCATTTCTTGTGGTCTACACTACACTCCCTAGGGAAAAAAGATAAGAAAGCTCTGATACAAAAACCCGTAGTTTCTTCAGCACAAAAACGTAGGGATATGAGGGTGTTTTGTTTTTTTTTTTTTGCAATCTCTTCCCTCTAGCAATATGTTCTGTCATTTTCTGTATTTATGAGAAGCTTTTTCTTTCAACAAGTTAAAAGCTTGCTTGGTTTTTCTGCACACTCTAGTGGAAAGGTAAATATTCTCATTTTCCTTACTTACTAGCATAAAAATAGACAAAAGATCATCAGAATTTATTAAGACAAACATAGCTGCCTTCTAGCATTGGACTGTAGAATGCAATTTGGGATCATTAAGAACAAATATGTCTATACATTAAATATGATTAAGTCCTTTAGAAGGTCAAACATGAAAATGATTATTAAAAACTTTTTTTTTTTTTTTACTTAACAGCATTTATCGTTTAAGAGTAGGTTGATATACAGAGATAAATTTGTCTCATCATAAAGTTGTGTTACAGAAATAGGAATATACTAAGATCTAAAACCACTATTATCTGACAAATTTTCTTTAAACTACTTTTGTAGGTTTTAAGGAACTGAGAATGTATGCATAGAATCCTACTGATTCAGTGCAAAATGTTACACAAGTAGCTCCATCCCAAAGAGAAAGTATTTAACCTAAGCATATTTTTACTCTTAGTATAAGCAGAATTTTTTATGTGCTTTCTAATTTTGTACATGTATTTAGTGACTTAAATGGACCTGAATTTCATCTAAGACATACTGGGCAAGAACAATACATGAGGCACTCAAATGCCCTCAAGTTCAGATTCTCTGGGCCTTCAAAATGTGCATCTAAGCATCAAGAAATATAAAACATGCTATGAATTTCTGACCTATGAGTAAAAAGCAGTCTAGACCTAAGGGACAATAGTAAAGTCCCTCCAGTAAACTTTGGCTGTTATATGGGATACTGTCAGGAAGCTCAGTTTGAAGGGCGTGGTTGAGTCACAATCCCTTGAAGTTTTCAAGAATCACAGAATCACCGAATTGTAGGGGTTGGAAGGGACCTCCAGAGATCATTGAGACCAACCCCCCTGCCAAAGCAGGTTCCCTACACCAGGTCATACAGGTAGGCATCCAGGCGAGACTTGAATATCTCCAGAGAAGGAGACTCCACGACCTCCCTGGGCAGCCTGTTCCAGTGCTCCGTCACTCTCACCATAAAGGAGTTCTTGCACGCATTCGTGCGGAACTTCCTATGCTGCAGCTTATGTCCGTTTCCCCTTGTCCTGTCTCGACGTACCACTGAAAAGAGACTGGCCTCACCACTATGGTCCCCACACCTCAGATATTTATAAACCTGGATTAGATCCCCTCTCAGTCATCTTTTCTCAAGGCTAAACAGACCAGTTCACTTCTTCATAGGAGAAATGTTCCAGGCCCTTCACCGTCTTTGTGGCCCTCCGCTGGACTCTTTCCAAGAGATCCCTGTCTTTTTTGTACTGGGGAGCCCAGAACTGGACGCAGTACTCCAGATGAGGTCTTACCAGGGCAGAGTAGAGGGGGAGGATCACCTCCCTCAATGTGCTGGGCACGCTCTTTTGGCCACGAGGGCACACTGCTGGCTCATGGCCAACAAAGAAACATATAGATGTTGTACTAAGGGACATGGTTTAAGGGGAAATTCTGATTGTAGGTGGATGGTTGGACTGGTTGACCATGGAGGTCTATTTAAA